ATCAGCCACCACCTCATGAACTGCCACCGCCCCGTGAACTGCCACAAGGTCAAGAAGTTGAAAAGGTCACCACAGCTTTGAAAAAGATGACCACGAGCATTATGGAGTTCGGTGAGGTCATGGCAGGTGTTGGGGCGAACACCTCTATTGTTGAGATTATAAAGAATGTGTTCAGCAACTTATCCACCACTGCCAACCTCACCCCAAGCCTGAATCCAACCCCACCGGAGAGCTTGCGGCGAGATGATGATATATACAACCAACCCAGTTTCTTGGATGCGGTTGCTGAACTTGAAGCGGCATTCCTGGCAACATTGAAGAACATGAAAACTGCTGACATACCTGCACCAACTTTTAATCTCCTGACGCCAACTAGCCGTGATGCTACTCCTGAAGAAGCCCCAAGAAATGCAACTCCACCCCGTGATGCTACTCCTGAAGAAGCCCCAAGAAATGCAACTCCACCCCGTGATGCTACTCCTGAAGAAGCCCCAAGAAATGCAACTCCACCTGAAACAACACCACCTCCGCCCGAACCCACATCTGAACCACGAGCAGCAACACTATCAGCATCACCCACCACACCACCACCACAAACAACAGAAGGAAATACAGCAGCAGCAGCAGCAGTTACCCCAATTGCAACACTCTTGGAACAGCTCGTTGATGACATGGCTGATGGTTCACCCCAATCACTACCAACAACGGAACAGAAAACTCCAGAACAAATTGATTTTGATAGGTAAAACTCACTTATCACTTAACAGTATCCTTATGTGTGTTTAATCTATTGATTATGAACATTTATGTTCCAATTTAATATCTCATCAATCCTAACCCAAATGTGATTATGTGTATTACTTCATAACTTTATGTGTATTCTACTATAATACTATGTACATTATTATCCTTGCTAATTATTTAATCATGTGTTATGCCTACTGCTTAAAAAGTTAAAACATGTTTCTAATTACTTTTCTGTCTCTACAAAGCATCATGGCTGAATCTGAAGATGATGTTGAAGATGTCAATGTCCGGAAAAGGCCACAGCGAAAGTTCAAGAACCTCCCTCTAGCTTGTCGATCCCCGTACTGGACAAGCAACATTTCAAAACTCAAGAATGTTTCCGCCAGGGAAAAACTGATCTCGGACTATGCGTTCCTGCCACCAAATTAAACTGACTACCCTTCTTAGTATGTATTTCATTTATAACTTGTTATAACAGATGCTTTCAGTTGCTATACCTCATCATAAATAACAGCTATTCTTAGACACAAAATTATATGTATCCTGGTTATATGTTATGTGTATTACTTCATAACATTATGTACATTATATATTTACATTATGGGCAACAGTAGATTACTTTAAATTGTGAAGTGTTTATTTTGTAATATCAACTTGTTTTGTTTATTTCCAGTGAAATGTTGTTTTCTGCCCATGATCTGTTTGCAACGAGAGAGGACATTGCAACACTGGCAAGTGGGCAACTAGCTACAAATATCCTGCAAATCTGGGCACACAGATTGACAATGCTTGATATGAAAAGAGCAATTGATCAACCAAAGAGGATCTTCTTCTCGGAAGCTGCTTATGAATGTACACATCTAGAACTAAGCATTTTTTTAAACAATGTACTATATGACACAACCTCTTCTTTACAGATGAGGCTTGAAAAGGTTGAAATAAAAGCAAGGAATATGGATATTGGTGACTTCTGTACAAATATTGACTACCAGTTGAGGGGGACTGCAATTGATATAACAGATACAAGTCTTGTAAGTAAAATATATATATATATATATATATATATATATATATATATATATATATATATATATATATATATATATATATATGAATTCTAAGATTATTGAATTTATGTTTGTATTTGACACAGTTTGTTAAATACCTTTTGATTATTCATTTCAGGTTTTCTTTACAATCTTGAGGCACAATCACTACTACCTAATGTGCTTTAACATACCCAAGTCAAAACTTCAGATCATTAATAACAAGCTATTGTCCAAGGGAATACCAAGTAAGAACAGATATGAGAACTGCCCGGCTAAATTGGTAAGATATACTAATACTCCTATTTAATATCTATAGTTTAATATTTACATTACTTAAATTAATTAAACACTACAATTACTATAATGTGCAGAAAACAGCTTTCTACAAATACCTCCAATCGAAGAAAAACTCCCTTGCAAGGAAAGTGAAGAATATCGAAGTGGAGTGCATTCACATGCCATGGCAGGATGAAGAGAACACAACAGATTGTGGCGTGTATTGCATGCGCCACATGGAAACTTACAAAGGAACTGAGGTAGACAAGTGGGAAACTGGTTTCATAGGGGGTGATAGTGATGTAAGTAATAATCAACTTTGTTCTACATTACACATGTTATCTCTTCTTTCTTCTAATTTTAACATCTATCTTTTGTTTATTGTAGGCTGCTTTCATTACATCGCTTAGAGCCAAATATGCAGCAAACATCCTCATGTGGAAGAACAACGAATACATAGAAACAGTCATGCACTCAGCGAGGGACAACTACAAGAAATAGAAGTGAAACTACTAACAAGAATCTGTAAAAAGCAATTCTGCTAATCCAAGCTCAGACTTACTTGTATTTTTTGTTCAATTTTTGGAAGTTTCAGTTGATAAACAATTATCAGAAATTTGTATATGCTCCTTTTGGTAATCCAATCTAATGTTTACTTGTATTCTATATTTTTCATATTCCCCAATATAGTTTTGTACATAATCAATGCAAATACAACACAAACTATGAACTATCAAAAAATGTACATAATCATATGAAGTATTACACATAACCCATATAATGAATACACATAAACTTTCAAAACAGTGCACATACTACTAAAAAAAGTCTAACAAATATTTTGTTTCTGCTAATATATACAATCAAACATCCTACTGAATATAATCCATGTACAGAATACACATAGGACCAAGCATATCATTTCCCTATACTGATAACTGCAAATTTAAAAAAGAAATGTACATAAATATATAAAAGTAATTAACACAAATAAAAATGTACATAATCATATGAAGTAATACACATAAAGTATATAATGAATACACATAAACTTTTAAAACAGCACATATCATAATAAATGTCTATTTTATTACTGCTGAGTTATATGATTTAACATCCTTCTGTACGTGATACATATAACTACGATGATTAACACTAACATATGCTTTAATTATCCTCCATGCTTGACATTGTGCTAACGTGACAAAAACTAGAACCTCCGGAACTTGGGTGGACAAGATATCCATCACCCGCAATATTTACAATATCATCCTCAACTTGAGACTGAACTACAGCAGATTTTATTTTGGAAGCAACCATATTTGCAAGATGCTTCCGTCCCCTTGCTTTGTTATATTTCTTTGAAATAACACTGCTCACCCTCCTATTCCGCAACCCTTTCGTCCGCCTAGTAGATGGATCCTTTATAACACCACTTGGCGATCCTATGTCACATTCTTCAAATAAACTACCACCACAATCAGCTTTAAGTCTTCTCTTTGCATCTGCAATTGCTTCTTCACAAATCTTCCATCCTTCGATATTTTCCTGACTGTAAACAGCAAGCCTCTGAAATTTCCTAATGATTTCTAATAACCAAACAGAAGATGCACCATTACCACTATCAACTTCTAGACATTATATCAAAATTATCAACTTCAACAATTTTTTTAGTCCACCTCTTCAAAATATACTTCTCAGGGACTTCAGAAACACAATGCACATTTAGAATGCGTAAACAATGACAACACAAAATCCCCAATTCAGTAAACAACTTGCAACTACATCCAATGTCCATTTGTCTACTGTTAAAGATCACTTCATGCCTAATAATATCAACATCAGGCCTCTAAACATGATACTTATACACACCATCTTGCAACGTCACACACTCTTGATAGCATGATCCACCTTTCAAAAATTGTTCTTCAAACAAATAATATATCTCAATTGTATAAATTTCCCTAGCATGCAACAGAATCTTAACATTATCCATCACCATTGTGGGTACCCCTTGTGAACACCGAACATCTTCCCCATTCTCTCTACTTCTCCACTCTGATATGACCCCAACAAATGAGTTATAAAAATCACACAGACCAGATGTCTTGGACAACCTTCTAGAAATAGAGTGATTTGTGGTCTCACTCCTTTGAGAAGATAAAATCCCACCCGAAAAATAATCTTTATTAAATGCAGGACACCATTTTTCTCTACACCCATACAGCTTTTCAATCCAATGATTATTGTGAAATAACATGCCATAAATATATTAAAGTAAACCTACAAGCATGTCAGGATATCACATACAGAACAGACTAATGTACATAATCTTATACATGAATACACATAACCTATCAAATAGATACACATAAACTTGATCCAAAAAATTAATTCTGTATTCTGTGTAATATAATCAAAAAATAGTCATTCAATGATAATCCAATATAAACTAATAATAAAATATAAAAAATAACGAAGCATACATCAGACACGTACCTTGTCCAGTAAAATTCAAACTCTGCCTCTGTATCCGTATACTTCAACAAGCAATTGAATATATCTAAGAAATCTTTTTGATTTCTTAACCCTTTAATGTGCTTCTTTGAGTTCTCACCAATATGCCATATACATAGCCGATGTCGTGAACTTGGAAAAACTTGAACAATTGCAACAGCCATAGCAGCACATTGATCAGTCATTATGCTTTGTGGACTTTTGTAATCCATAGATCTCAAAAATGTCTTAAACAACCATACAAATGACTCAGTCTTCTCATTCATCAAAAAACCGCATCCAAACATAACATTCATGCAATGGTGATTCATGCTAACAAAAGGTCCACAAATCATGTCATATTTGTTAGTACGATATGTTGTATCGTAAACTAACAAGTCCCCAAACAAATCATAATCACTCCTCATTCGTCCATCCCTCCAAAAAAAACTACACAACCTTGACTCCAAATCCACCTCAAAATCAAAGTAAAAATCCCTTTCACTTGACTGCCTCCATTTGTATATTTCAATCAATGTGTTTGAATCAATGCCATCCAATCTGTTCAATGCATCGGTACATAGAGAGTTATATGCATCCCTACTTGTAAAACCAACAAGTGGTGTTCCCCCTGATTGTGTTTTAAAGAATCGTACACCATCTGCAACAGACACACAACTGCTCTTCAAATCAGTAAGATAGGATATATGATTCCTAGACACCATCCTATGTGACCTTAAAACGTAACTCTTGCTTGGTGGAACCAATTCGTGATTATGCAACTTCTCGTGCTTTGAAACAATCCACGTCCCATTCTCTAGTAAATCAAATTGGACATATGCACCACAACCTATACGACCATCAATTTTAGAATAACACCTTTTTCCTGTACTCCTTTTAAATCCATCATTCGAACAATGAAACATCTTCGCCTTCATTGTTTTTGTAGCAGAAGTATATCTTTGCTTACCCCTCCTCACACTAAAACCCACTCTAAAAGCACAATTATTATACATGTCATATGCTTCATCAACCGAACACACTGACATCCCTACCAAATCCTGATCAGCTGCAAATCACATACAGTTTAACTACCCATACTGTTAATGTACATAATCCATAACTATAATACACATAAACATATGGCACAATACACATAATCATAAATACATAAACCTATCTTTTCAGTCCATCTTACTATGACATTCAATCCTAAAAATCTACACAATTGCATAAAAAAAAACGAACAAATCAAACCATACAATGCACATAAAACCTCCCTATATCAACATCTTCAAATCAGACCATACTAACATCCAAAACAACCACAATCAAACAACAATCCTATATCAATTCTTATATAATTCAACGGCGAATTCAATATATTCATCATACATCAAACAAAATACAAAAGAAAATCTTAAAAATCAAATATTAATACCTGGACTAGCATCCTCTGTATCTTCCACTTCAACAGGATCAGTTATATGCTCTGTCTCCGCCACATGCTGCTGCGCAATCGAAGAACACATGGCTTACATCCAACAATTGCAAAATACGGAACAAATCGAACAATCAGATCGCTACCGTGTTCTCTAATCCAACAGACATGATCGGCGCGACGACACCATCTCTTTAGAACCCCTCTCTCACTTCCCTCTTCTTACCACTTGACGGCGTTAACTGAATAATAAAAAAAAGGCCGTTACGTATCAACTCCATACGGCGTCGTTTTGATGCTGGGCACACATAGAGCTATACGCCGGGGTGTATGGTATAAATTGCCAAAGGTTTCTAATCATACCCGCCGACGGCTCAGGGGATCTCATATTTCCACCGCCCATTTCCCCACGGTCGCTGTCTCACTTCTCTAAACTTTGGCACAGTTTTTCGCCAAAAATCCAAGCCTTTGTTCACCTCACGCCCGATATTGCCCCTCAGTTTCATCTTCCTCCGCTCCTCAGCATCATCTTTCACCGGAAATCCAAGCCTCCGGCATGGACATGGAAATCAAGAAGCTAATCGGGCGCGGCACCGGCTGCCACAACCAAGGTTTTTCGGTGGAGATTCAGACGCTAGGTAGAATCAAGCACCCCCACTTCGTCAGATTGCATATGGGTTTTTTTACTTCTTAGCTCGACAAACTGTGTATTTGGGAGAAATAAACAAAATGACTATTATGCCCTTAAGATGTAACGAATGAGACGGAGAAGCTTAACGGGAGGACTAGTGGAGGTCATTTTTGAAATTCGAAGGATGACGGAGGGTAAAAACGAAAATTTATGACTATTGATGGTGAAACCACTATACTCGAGGGACCTTGGCTAGTATAGATATTTCAGAAGAAATTGCTAAAGATATGATAATAGAAATAGGAGATTGTATTCGGAGATTATTCGATTATCCAGATACTGCTTGGCCCATACTAGTATTGGCAAAAATGCATTGCGTAAAAGTAGCGACATGTCGCTTTCTTAATCAAGATTGTTTTTTTTTTTTTTTTGGTGAGTCTTATCAGATGGCTTGTAGTGACCTCTTCCATGTGGGAGGTCATGAGATCGAGCCTCGGTGGAGGCATTGTTGACTTTTGTGCTTCATTAAGTTGAGAAAGTATGTTTGAACAGATACTACAATGTAATAGAATTAGTAGCATTCAAAAAAAAAAAAAAAAAAAAATTATTATGACCAAATATTGTATTGTATGTTGCCAGCAAACTATTGGTAATATGGTAAAATTTGTTTCAAAAAAAAAAAAAAAAAAAAAAAAAAAAAAAAAAAAAAAAAAAAAAAACAAAGGTAAAATTTGTCTAATTCTCTACAATACACAAATACTGAGTATAATATATATGATACATTTTTTATGTTATGACATATTCTTTCGTTTTCGCGCATATATGTGGAAAATGCGGAATTATACCATGTATGCCATCACTCTATTATATAATTTTTTTTTTTTTGATACGGGGGAAGGGGCCGAGGGCCCGGGGTTAATAAAATCTTCTTACGGCGACTCTGTTCGCGTCACCATTCAGTAATGGAACCGTCTCGTCCGGAGTGTGCATCAGTGTGGACGTACGCCAGGGTGAGTTCTAACCCAAATTGACAAGAAAATCTGCGCACCAATTGCCTTCCCTAAGGATGTGATTGAGCTTGAAGCCTGGGAAGCTTTGCATGAGCGATTTGCAGTCAAGAATAAGGGTGTCAGCTACCTGCAGGAAGGACTCTAACTCTTTGTTGAGAGCTTGCATGACAGCCATAGAATCAATTTCCGCTTCCACTTTATCGAAACCGAGCGACTTAGCAAGCCGGAGACCCTCCCGGAGTCCCCAAAGATCGGCTAAAAATAAGCCAAGCTTACCGTGACCACAGCAGTGTCTGAATGAGGCCAAAAGAGTCTATCCTCTTGACCGTTGGTGATCGGTATGGGGATGTCTCGTATACGATTTATTACCACATCGATCCTCCGGGACGAGGGATTCAAGAACTGATGAATTCCATGAACTGTCATTATTAAGCACGTCTTTCTTTCACCTGCAAGTTATCACTGTTAACAGGAAGGGGGATGGAGCTGGTTGATGCCAGGGATGGATTGATTGAAGACCCATTACCCACTCTCCACTGAATGCCCCTTAGCTTTTGCCCTTCAAAATGCTACGCCAACCCCAAGAGCTATTGGCGTTTTTAACATACTTTTCCCGCATCACATTCACCCAAAGCTTGTTTTAAAGTAATGATATAATTAATTAATTAATTAAAATTAATAATTAACACCATTAAATTCAACCATTCACTAATGCCTTCATCAAGTTTTTAAACCCTCAAACTGTCATGGAAATAATGTCAAATATAACCAATTAATAAAATAGAAGCGGCAGAGAGCTTAATATGCATTCTAAAAAAGTTTGATACAAATATAAATAAAAATTAATAGGAATAAGCAAGGTTCTAATTGAATGTAATCCGAAAATGTAATTAATCCACTGAATAAAAAGAAAGTGTAATTAGACCACTAAATACCCTAAATATATGCAATTTCACCTGATATTATGTTACCATTTCATCAAGTTTCCTGCTTACCTGAAAGGTGGGTTTGACATTTTAAACAATTTTTAATAATAAACTTTAAAAATAAAAATAAAAATAAAAAAAGCGTAGGGGTGGCTGCCTGTCACCCCCTTCCCCCTCCTCCTTCGTCTCCGAATGGGTAACTTAAATAAACTACTATTGACATATAGCTTGAAATTAAATGAACATCATTATATCATTATGAATATCTACCCAATGTATTATGGCACGTTTGGTTCGCGGAATAGGCATGGAATGGAATAGCATTCCTAGTAATAGGCATATTCCTTTGTTTTGTAAAAATATCTATTATTTTTTCAGGGAATGACATATTCCCCTTGCAAGGGGTATAGAGATTCCTGGGAGACCCCTTGGTATTAGGTTATTCGTAAGTTCTCAGGAATAGCCTAAAGTTGCTATTTCGTATTTTACCCTCCAATTAAATTTATTTCCTATTTCACCACCACCACCGCCACCGCCGCCACCACTGCCACCAACACCACCCCACCGCTGCCACCACTACCACCACCATCGTCGCCACTCGCCACCACCACCAAATATTTTTATAAGGGTATGTATTTATGTCTTTTAAAACATATTTCATTTCTATTCCTTAAACCAACCAAACACTGTAATATAATTTCTTAAGTCTATTCCTTCCACGAACCAAACAATAGAATACAATTCTTATTCTATTCTTTGCCTATTATATTCCTTATGAAATAGCATTCCTATTACCTCAAAATTCATTCCGTGAACCAGACGTGTTGTTAAAGAAAAATGGCATATAAGAAATTCTTATCTCTATCATTCTTTCCCCAAAAGGTTGAATTCTCAACTCCCGGCCCGTCAAAGCATTTGGCTCAATGGCTCAGTAGGCAGTGCCAAATATTCCTAGAGTGCATAAGAATCTATTGACTTTGGGCATAATCCTCACACTGCCACCGCCGAGGTTCGAATCTTGGTCTTTTCTCCTGAATACAACCTATTTAACCATTGAGCTAAGCATGTGCGGGCTTATCTCTAACATTCTACATCTATAATAGGGATGTCAATCGGGTCTGAACCCAATGGGCTAACCCGATAAAACCAAAATCGATAGGGCTATAGCCCGAATGGGCTAGATCGATAAAAACATTAGTTCAATGAGCCCGAAACCAATTAACGCGATGGCCCGATAGGGATAACCCGAAATTAAATGGGCTAGCCCGATAACACGAACTATTGAAACTATTCTTTATTATAGAAGTGATGTGAAAAATAAAATACATTAAATTTTTAGGTGAGTTATCTTTAGTATTTTTTATTACATTTTTAAATAAAATTTTAATAAATATATTACAATATAAATTATTTTATAATAATAAATAATGAAAGTTAAAAACTTAATTTAAATATTATTTTATAGTATAACTGTGTAAGTATATTGATTATTTATAGTTAGAATT